TCCTCTTCCTATTTCCTCAGAGTCTTCCATTGTGCACCATCAACCCAGAACTCAAGGAGAAGCTTCGCAAGTTCAGGTTCCGCCGTGCTACAAACAATGCTGCTATCTTAAGTAAATAATGGTAGCATGTATTCTGTTCATATTTTTTAAGTGTGTTTATTTTTAGTTAAAGGGTTTATAAGTTTGTGTTTCTGATTGCGTGTGTGTTTTTATTTTCAAAAAATTCTGACATAGCAATGTTATATAGGTGTTGTATAGTTTTGTTGAAGAATTATTGTAATCATACATGAAAAAGTATGATCTATTGGAATGTTTTTTTTTGTATTTTTTTTTTTTTTCCAGAGACCTTTTTTAAAGGAATCTAATGATTACAAAATAGATAGATTTTTTTTTTAAATGTCAATGAGAAGGATATAAAATTGGACTTCCATGCTGTCATGGTCATTATGATTATCATCAATGATAGTGTTATTGATGCTATTGTAATTATTTTGTTATCATTCATTTGTCAGTGTTATTTCTGCTATTGTTATTACTGTAATTGTTGTTATTAGTATAATTACCTTTATTACTGTTAATACTATCCGTGTCATTATCATGTTCTTGGTCATCATCACTTCAACTTAATTCATTATTGTTGTATTCGCCAGTATCATTACTCTTGTAATGATTGTTCATTTCATTTTTGTTTTGTCATTGTATGATTTATTATTTTTGTTGCTTAAAAAAATCTTTATCGTAATCTTATGACAGTGATCATGACGATAAAATTACAGCATTGGACATGCACGTAATTCAAGGTAATGAGTAATTGGAAACAATAGATTAATGAATTGTAGACATTTTTCTTGTCTGATATTGCATCACAAATTGATAATAAGAAATATTATTTATTCTAAAAAAGTAATAAACAAAGTGATAATCTCTGGTTTGTTGTAGCCTGTGAGCCTTTGGTATTCTTCTAGGTCAGTAAAACTCAACCTTTCTTCTTCTTACTTTTTTCATCATTTTTTCATTCCATTTCATTTTCTTTCTGGAATGTGCATGTATGATATACAAATTAAAGCAATGTAGACTTATGCTTGCTAATAAGTGAAATCTCTGTTTCACCTTGGAAAATGACGCTGTTAATGATAGAAGCTTAAATGGATTTCTAAACTGATATAACACAAAAAATTCAGCTGAAGGCCATCTCAGGTTTTCACTGGATGGAAGAAAGCCAAAATTTTTAGTAATTTGAGAAGACTCATGGCAATTAATTTTCCAGTGAAAGTGGACCAGCAGGCTTCGGAGATCATCTTAGAAGAAGAGCTGGAGGACCTTGAGGACATCGATGAGCTTCGGGACTCCATTCCAGATACCCAGCCACGCTATGTGCTCATTTCGTGGCGCATCTCCCACCCTGATGGGCGCATCTCCTACCCTATGGCTTTTATTTTTACAACACCAAGAGGTAGAGTTTTTAGTTGAATTTGGGCCTTTGTCTGTCTTGAGGGACAGGGATGAGTTTTTAGCTTCATCATATTTTTTCTTTCTTTTCCATATTAGTTTATATAATGATATTGTAAAACTGTATTCACTACAGTTTTTCAGCGAGAAAAAGATGTTGCAATAGAGAATAACTGAACTATCAGTATGTCAATGCATGAAAATGGATTAAATTGTTTCAGAGAATTTATTCAACTTGTATGTTTATTACCTTTCGTATATCAAAGTATTCTGGTATTCTAGTTATGTTTATATAGTCTGTTACCTTTTTTTTATTTTGTTTTATTTATTTATTATGTTCTCTTTTTTTACATTGACTCGCTGTTTCAGATTGCCAGCCACAGCTCCAGATGATGTATGCAGGGAGTTACACACACATGATTAAGGAATGTAACCTCACAAAGGTGTTCCAGGTGCGAGACCTTGAAGAACTGGATGATGATTGGCTTCAGAACAACTTAGTACGGTAAAAGATCTCTGTGCAGTCAACAAGCGGCAGGAAAACACAAGCAATGCCTCTCTTGATTCTGAATAGTGTGATTTTCTTTCCTGTTCTCTCTCTGTGTTTCTGACTTTTTTTTCTCCCCCTATTTTTGTATGAAGGGGAAAATGATAGTGGCAGAGAAGATAATGTATTAACAAAAATGTTTATGATTTTTTGTGACAAAAGATATTTGGTTGAGGGTAGACATAATGATTAATACGTATGGACCATGCAACTTATAGAATGAGGCATAACTATAGTTTTATATTATAACACTAGTGTAAATGCACATCATGCACACCATGCACAGGTAAACACACAGACTTATACACAAATAATTTAAGCACACCTGCACTTGCATACCTTTACATTTTTAAATACCTGCACATGCACACATGCTTCCATGTTGATGCAAACACATAAACAGCTTCATTTACTCATACATGTTATAACAGTAGATTCTGTTAAAAGAAGCATTCATATGTTTTGAATGAGGAATGCTAGGCTCAAAATAGACCTAAAGTATGACACAAATTTGCCTGACACTAGTATGGGAAGCAATTACTCAAATATGAAAAAATGTCCTATTATAAGTCAGTTTTTATCAATATCAGTGGAATATTCTCAGATGTGATTTTCATACTCTTATTACCATGTTTATTTGTTTATTATTTATGACAGGGAGATATGCTAACAACACATAGCTATCACAAGACTTGAGTACAAATTCTACAAGTCATAAAAGATGTGTATAAAGTTACAATTAACATACTAAACTTTTTTTTCTCCATTTCATTTGTGTATGTTTGTGTGCAGGAATGTATAGATATGTGGGTGTGTGCATCCAAGCGTGCATGTGTATTTATTCACAGAGATATATTGGCTTTAAGACATAGTTTTAAATTTCTGTGTATTTGTTGTATTGTAATAAAGAATTTTTCTTTAAACAAGACATTTTTCTATATTAAAATATAAATGAAAGTGCATTAGAATTTTGTGTGTGCGTGCGTGCGTGTGTGCGTGTGTGCGTGTACATGTGTATGTGTGTGTGTGTGTGTGTGTACATGTGTTTACATGTTTTGTATTCACAGTGCACTTGAAAATGAATTCTTGGAATTTGTAAAAGGATCAAAGTTTAAAGAATAATAAGCATTAAAATATAGGTACAATTGAATGAGATAACTAAAACCTGAGTATGGGGATATATAAATTGTTAGACATTGCCCTATTCTGCTGTTTTGGTCTCCTCTTTATAGATTATTGTCATTAAAAAAAAAGGCACACTTTCATTAGTCAAAGTCTATTGTAATCATAAAATGCACAAAATCAAGGCTAAGAAAATGTTACTTAAATGACTTCTATATATGAGGAGATGGCAATTTTATCAGTGATCTGTGGAAAATATTGCAGTTTGTATATGAATGTTTGTATAAGAGTGTTTTTCTTTTTTTTTCCTTATTTAATTGCATATAGTTAATAGCAAGCGCCACAAACCATTTTGTGTATCTTCAACAGACTCTTACCTTTTAGCAAAAGCATTTTTCTTCAGACTTATTATCTTTAGTTAATTTTTTTTATGCTAAATGTACACATAATAATTAAAAGCCATAGATTAAAAGTGCCATTCATTGTCAGTGTCCAGAAAGAAGAGAATTTTATTTCATCATTATTATCTACTTTTGCAGAAGGTTTACCTGTTAAGATGCAAAGACATTTTTCCTGATTATGAATTGAATGTCAAGATATATTCTGTTTTGTATATAAGTGGACAGGCATTCAGTCTAATAGAATGGAAAGAGGTATTGCAAGTAAGTAGATTGATAACAAAAGGGAAACAATATGTCTGTATTTCTTAGTGGATATCTTTCATATTGTAACCTAGTTGGTATAGCTGTTACTTGGTAACTTTAGATACTGGATTATTTTTAGTATTTTCATATTTAGATGTTTTTGGAAATGTAATATGAGAATGATGTAATGTTTTTCTTTTTATAAAATATAAACTCTAGTATATTCAGTGATGCTTTAACAAGTATATGTTAATGCAGATAGACAAGTAAATAGATGTACTCTATATAACATTTCAGTAAATACCAAATATTAAAAAGTATCTGTGGATAGTTTGCATGAACTTGAAAAAAGGGATTAAAACTTTTAAGTACCAAGCATCTAAGTATCACTTACAGAGGCTTACCTTATAGAAAGTAAATCATATAGACCATAAAATAATACATGTAACCTCGCATACCCTTTTCCCCATTTTGATTTGAGATGGGATTTGCTTTAGCTTTTGTACGTTTTGGAATTTTAAAGCCGTTTCTTTAGAGTAAATAGGTTACATGTATGCATGAAGATTGATTTTTTTTTTTTTTTTTTTCACATATTATTTTTCATATCAAGATCTCATCATAGTTTTTATAGCCCAAGTATCATTCAGTTGAAAGTCTAGAGGACATTTTGAAGCAGTGTGATTTAAGATGAGACTGTATTAACAAAGGGGGCAAAGGCAGACAGTAGAAATCTTTTACTTGATTTCACCAAGTTTATTCTAAACATGCTTTGCTTGCCAATGATATATATGATCAGATTATGTGTTTTAACTAAGTTGTCTTTACAAGTGCATTGAATCCCATAATAGGTTGCAGTAGATGAAGTACTTCCACTTATAAGTAACTAGAAGTGGTAGTAAATGCATGGTAAAGGTCAGCCAATGTATATGAAAGTCTTTGAAATAAAGAAATAGATTTAGATTAGTTCAGCCAATTTTCAGAGACTTTTATATTTCTGTTCTCTAGATATCTTCCAAGTTTTGAATTGTATAAATAGTCCCCAAGATATTAGCATCTTAGTAAAAGGTGAATGAAACTATCATTCTATACTAGTTGCAGTAAAGCTGCTATGTAATTGAAAGCTGTCAGAATGTAATGTTTACTAAAGGAGATAAAGTTATACATACATACATACATACATACATACATACATACATACATACATACATACATACATACATACATACATACATACATACATACATACATACACATACACATACACATACACATACACATACATACACATACACATACACATACACATACACATATACATATACATACCTATACATTTACATATATATCTTCTCTCACACGTGCACACACGCACACACGCACACACACACACACACACACACACACACACACACACACACACACACACACACACACACACACACACACACACACACACACACACACACACACACACACAAATATGTATGTATGTATGTATTTATGTGTATGTTTTTATGATGGCCACAGTACTACACTTCTTTGGTTTTCCTTTTATGAGTAAAGCAATATAGAGTTGTAATAGACAATAAAGAATAAACCATGCCACAACTTTATTGCACTGAACGAGTTTACTCTAAAATGGTTTTTTATGCATGTCACATATTCAAGGTGAATGATTGGGTTATCATGAATATATTTTATTTCCTCTTTTTGAAGAAGCTGATGTCGTAATCTACCTACACAGACCTGTAATATCTAGTCAGATGAGGTTTTACAAATTTGTAATGAATACCTCTACTGAATTATGTGGTTGATTTTTTTTTTTTTTTTTTTTTTTTTTTTCTCTCATATATATGTACAATGTGCACTTTTGTCATGCTTTGTATTTAAGTATCTTTTGCAATTTGGCTGCAATGTGTGGATGGGACCAAGCTGTAGAATCGAAAAAGCTGTTGCAAGTTCAGGAATTCCAAACTTTTGAATGTACGATGGATCTGCTGAAAATTTTAATTGATACTGTTTGGGGGAAAATGTGTATTCATATCATGGTATTTTCAAGCTATATTTTGATATTATGGCATGCATGCTTGTAGATGTCGAAGTAGCAACATTTTAAAAGAGTGTGTGGTAAGGGGTCAGTGAGTTTTCCAAACCAAAACTTATTGAAATTAACCAGTATTTTGAGGCTAATTATTTCAAAGTAATCCACTTATTATTTGTATTTACCTGAAGGCATTCATTTTCTGTAGTTTTCTTTTTTATATATAAACAAAGAGCATTTGCTACTTGTGTCACTGATATATTAATTATTGTGATGTAAATGAACTGCTCAAAGTTTACAGGGCCCAGAAGGTATTGTGATATGCTTCCAAAGTCATTTACATAATACTCTGCATAAATAAACAGAAGAAATGTCTATTTAGAAGTTCTCTGTCATGAGAAGAAAATAAGAAGAAAGTAATAAAAGCAAAATATTGATTGTAATGTTCTATTGAAGACTGTAGAGAATTTGTTCCTTGTTTTTTTTTTTTCCTTTTTTCTTTCTTTCTTTCATTTCAGTTTTAAGTGTTGATATTATATTAATTTATAATGAGTCCAAGTATATAGATTTACTGTAGTGTCATAGGATATAATTTTATATCTTAACTACATTGATATTATATATCAGATAAAATGAATTGTTGAGGACTTTGTTATAAAGGATGAATGACTTTTATTGAAGATTATGCAAATTTTGAACTTTATATTAAGCATGTAATTTGATGATAGGTATAATTAAATACAGGAAACAATTTACATCAGAGTAGTTTTTAGATCTTGACAATTTTATTAACTTAGATTTTGAAACTGATTTAGATTTTTTAACCAAATTTTATATGATCCACCTGTGTCTGATATAATGAATATATTTACTTTTAATTTTCTATTAACAGGTTAATACAGCATTTAGCATCCCGTAGTTCTGGTAACACTTGATCTCCATTTAACCTTTACAGCATTTTTGTAACATGACCAGTATATTCAGATTCAACAAATAAATTGATCTTTGTGGATTTATGTTGTTTCTCTCTCGTCCCCCACACTGAGACCTCCAATTCCAACTGCCCTATAAAGGTTGAGGGATTTGAGTAGAACACAACTATTAGTTAATTCTTTAGGCCTACCCTCTCTTCTTGATTTTCCCCTCTTTCTTCATTTCTTTTCGTATTGGTATATCAATTGTAACTTGATAGTTTTCACCCTTCCCAGCAGACCAGCTGTGACTGGACTGCTGCTGATGCCAAAGTTAGCTTGGAAAGGAACTGGTCACCCTATGAGCATGATCCCTATGTAAACTTGGGTAATAGGAACAACTTTCCTTAACTTCTTATAACCGGGAACGCCTACAGCCATCATGAAAAACTAACTCATCACGAAGGGTACAGCTATAGGCATCAGGACACAGCCTACTCCCCCGTCCAAAAGGCTAGACGGTTGCCAGAAGTCACCCAAATGAGTAACACAGAAATTTCTGGCACTGTCATTTTAGGGTTAAGCCTAATGACAAAGTGCATTTATACATCCACTGTTTTTAATTCATTTTGTGATACATAGATGGCTCTAAAAGTGCTTACTCACTAATCACTTCAAGGGCCTACCTGACCTTGCCCACATACCTCAATCTTTAAGTTTTGGGAAGAAATGTTTTAGGCCATTATCATCATATTATTATATCAACATTATTATTGTCATAAATATCATTATCATTATCATACATATAGTTTTTCTGTTAATTTCATTCCAATAAATATAATAATAATAAAATATTACTACTAATAATAGTAACATAGACTCAAGGAATGGAGTGGACAAGTGAGACCAGAGAGGCCTAATTATGCACTACTTGGTGAGAAAGCCATCTACATATAAAACAAAATTAATAAAACAAACTACAGTATACAGTGCATATACTGTATCTGGTGCTAGTGGGTTAGTTTCCCGCATACATTACCAGGCAGATTTTCATATTCAAAAATATTTAAAAAGTATGACTGTTGATAAGTTACTAAGGTTCTCCCAAGATTTACCTCCCTCCCCATATTTCCTGTAGATGCCTAGTTGCCTCAGACTCATTGGTAAGCATTCTCTATTAATTGTAAACATGGGAAATCGTGGTGTCCCAAGACAGGCCTACATTTACAAGGTTACAGAGCAAGAGAAAATACCATTCATGATATGAGGGTAAGCAAAAGAAAATAAATTGGTACATACATCAATATATTTTCTATACAATAAAATTAACTTGGGTATACAAAATAAATCTCTGTGTATGGAATAATGATCACCATCAATGAATGAATATAGAAAAGAGAAAAAAAATCGATAACAAAAGTATCAACAACTATTTATGTTCAAAGAGAATTGGCAAGAGAGCCAACTTTCCTATTGTTACAGTTATCTTGGATTCATCTCTTAACTACTAAAATTTATCCGCTGAGTCGACAGCTAGCGTCATCAGAGGTGAGTTCTCTCCAGATATAATGATGTACGAAGTCTCATCTCCTCTGACTTCTTCTACGACTGAAAATTAAATCAAAGTCAATTATTAAGCCATTAATCTGTGGCCAAAGTTAGTGCAAATGCAGTCACTAAATACCTGTTAACTAATGTGAATACTATAATCAACTTCACAGCTTGACAATACACAATACATGCAGAAATACAAGCATACATGTACCCACCTACACCTGGCCCATGAGAATCAACTGCATCAGGAGGTTGAAGAATGTCACTTGAAAGGGGCTCTAAATCTACAAGGAAGAAAAGCACCTTTATAATTCCAGTAATAGGCAACTTACAGATTCTACTGTATTGGCTTTAATAACTTGGATAATAATGGGGAAAACATTAAAAAGAAACAAAGAAAAATATATTCAGATGGCCCTTATCATTCACAATTTCATCATACATAAGCTTGGACTAATTACATATAGAAAAAAAAGTTTATATATATATATATATATATATATATATATATATATATATATATATATATATATATATATATATATATATATATATATATATATATATATATATATAATGTATATATAAAATACTATGAAATCAAACAATGGAGTCACAAGTAAATATTGTAAAAAATAAATAGGTATGAATATACCTTAAGACAACTATAAAATAACAAAAGCTAAAGGCAATATAAAGAACAATTACCCAAATAAGTGATTTGAAAAAGTAAAACTGTCTTAGGAATAAAGATGTTACCACAGCCTGATCATACCCTACCCTGTGTATTAGTAATATCCATGGCATGCATTCAAAAATTACTGATATGAATGGTTTACAAATGTTATGGGCCAGGAGAACATCAATAAAGAATAATCACTAACCTGCTTCCTCAATACTTCCACGACGACTACTGGCCACGTAGTTATTCTTCAACAACAAGAAATGCGAATTTGATTCTTCATCCTCATCCTCAAACACAGAGGATCTAAGGGAGGCCGTGTCCTCTAACAACTCACTTGGTGCTCCCTCTGACTTCTGGTCTTCATTATTCTGGTTAGTAATATACCAATGGTTTATTTTTCCTTCCTTTTCCTTATGTATATTTTTTTTCATGTGATACAAATAACATGAACCCATGAAAACTATATGAAGACTAAGATACAACAATGAAATTCTATGAGGTTGTTCACTTATTTTATGAGTGTCCTGAGTTACAGGTACTCTGTAGAAGTGATTATTTGTGAACAAATTTATAATGTGATTTCCAATCTTCAATTTAGAATCAAAGCATTATCAATTAAAAGGATACAAGGAAATCTATTTAAACTTCTGTTGGTAGAATTAACAATTAAGAAAAACTCTCTTCAACTCTGCTTGTAATAATTAAACATGATATAAAAGTACTTGAGTGATAATGTAAATCCATCTCTTTGTGTCTGTGTCTACATTTCAAAGAATACTTACTCTGTTAATTTCCACTTCAAAGTTCCTTGGTGTGTTGCCAGGGAATATTCGAATCCCTAAATCACCAGAGTCCTTCTCTAATCTTGATTGTTGAGCACATGGCACTACAAAAAAAAGGAAAACATTGTAAGATACTTGCAGCCTCTGTGATATTTCCTGGTCCTTGGGGATCATGCATTATACTATAGTATAATGCATGATAGACTAATCAGCTAAATCAAGAGGCTTGACTTTGCAGCCAGGGTAGCTGAACTTCTTTTTATTGAACTTACAAGAATCCTTTGGCATTTCCATGGTACACTTTATTCAGTTTAAATCTTCTCCTTCTCATTCATACTCTCTCACCCATCTGATTTACTCTTTTTATTTGAACAGAATTTGAGAATCTTTTTGGTTTTCCTTCAATGTGGTTCCAAAAGTGTGGTTTCTAGATTTGAAATCTAGGAGGGATGGCTTGGACTTGCCAGAGAACCTTTTCTATCATGGTTAATGAATATATCCAAACAAGTTATCATATTTGATTATAATTGCCTTAACATCAGACTTCTCCAACAGAAAAGGGGCATTTTCCATCTATCAACTGACTCATTATATCTACTCACTACATCCTTTAACTATGAATATCCTCTCATTTGTTGTGTATTTATCTGTTCAATCATGCAATTAAGACACTGCAACATATCAACGAACCAAAGTCATAACTTGAGTGAACTTACTTTTATGTTTAAGATGCCTGCTCAGAGTGCCATGTTCTTTAAAACATCTACCGCAATACTGACACTGGAATGGGGCTTCTCCTGTGTGGATTCTCAGATGTCTTATCAAAGAAGCTTTTGTGACAAATGATTTCTGACATTCCAAACACACAAAGGTTCTTGCATTACTGTGGGTCCGCTCATGTGTGTTCCTTGCACTCTGAGGAAAGAAAAGGATCTGTGAGCAGGGACAGATAATGGTTTCATTTTTTTTTCCATACATGAAGAGGGAGAATAAAAAATATATAAAAATGGAGGGAGTGAAGGAAAGAGGAAGAATAAAGAGGAACATGTATATGTAAAGGAATGTTATATGATAGTGAAAAGAAAAGAAAAGAAAAATAATATTACTTGTAATACATTATATTCTCTTAAAAAATCCTTTTCACCTCTAGTACATATTCACACACAAAAAATCAATTATAATAATAATAATAATAAAAATAATAAAAAAAACATATCAACACTTACTACAGTTTTAAAGAAACTATTGCAGTATCTACAAGGCACAGTTTTGCTGGTGCTATGTGAATGAAGGTGGCCTTTAGCATGGCTCAGGAGCTTGAAGGCTTTGTTGCATAACTGGCACACATACTGCCTCACAGAAGAGTGAGACACCAAGTGCCTTGAGAGAGACTGCTGATTAGCGAAGTTTTTCCCACACTGACTGCACTGCTCACCCAGCTGATCTGAAAGGTCAAAATATGGTAAGTAAAAGGAGATATACACTGATCGCATTTAATTTTTCATGTGTTTGGTGGAAAATTGCATTAAGAAGTTACATTTCTTTGAATATCACTTTCTAGAAATTTACCTAGATGATTTTTCATGTGAAGCATCAGAGTTGACTTTCTTGAGTAACTTCTACAGCAAACTGGGCATGTAAAAGACTTTCGCATAATATCAAGACTCAGCTGTGGTGGCTTTATATCACTGAGTTTTGTTTCCATGTCATCTGGAAAATAAAGAGCTTGCATTATCATCATCATCATCATCATTACTGTATCCTCTATTTTACTAATTTGCATATTTCATATATGTAAAAAAATCATTAGAGTAAAAAAAGTAAACAAGAAAAAGTCACTCCAGATATCAGGAGTATATACCTGCATGTTCCGTAATGAGATCATTGTCCAGCTCCTCTTCCTCCATTAAGGATGACAAAGCATTATGCTCAATCTTGCATGAAACCAGAGTTCTACCAACATCTATTGCGTTGTTATGCCGCAAATGGTTCAGGGAGTTCTCCTCCTGTTTTATTACTGGTGCCCCTGTACAGTAAAAACAACAGCTATGGTTATTCACAAAGAAATATAGTTGATGTC